TTATAGATTTTTAAAAATAATGCTTAGAACTCTACAAAGAACCTGGATTTTGACAAAAATGCCATTCCATTAACCTGAAGGAGCAACAGATCAATTGGTATACACTGGTAAGCAGTTTATGGAAAACCGATGCACTATATAAAATGATAGTCTATAAGATTATTTCATTTGATAATCTATGCTCTCAGAATCCAGTTCATCATTTTTTACTCTATCATATAATGCATAATACTTTCAATACAAAATTTAAGATGTAGTGATAGTCAGTCACCTAATTTTCTGTAACATACAATATTTGCAAGTTTGGGGATAAGCTTATTTTGACTTATTTATTAACAAAACTTGCAGAGAATATTAGCTAGCAATATTCTAGTACTAGTAATATTTCCCTAAATCTTAGCATTAAAAATTTCAAGTTAATTTTAAACAGAATTATTTAATGGAATATGTATAAATATGCATGATTACAGGACTTATATGGGATAGGAGCAAGGTAATACGTTTTTTGAGGCTTACAAATTTGCATTGATGGCCTCTGAATGGAAAGTAATACAATTACATCATGATGTCAGTATTAATTTTTACTTGCCTTTTCAGACCTGAAAACAAAGAAGGTAGCTGTTTTGGCAACAAATTCAAGTATTACTTATTCATTGGAAGTGATCTTAGAAAGAACTATGTTGTGCTGAAAATCTCCAATCTACAACCCACAGTGTGGAAAAGGAACGAGGACATTTGTATCACACCTTACAATTATGGAATAAGATCTGACCTCATCTTGGGTAGTCAAGTATTTGTTCATCCAACTAGCCATTTCTCTATTGTCTTAATCCACAATATTTAATGATCACTATGTGCTTGGCACTGTGCAATGCTCTGCAAATATGGTGATGGATCAAACATGTTCATGCCCTCAAAGATTGTGCTCCAGTATAAGAGTTAATGTGGAGAGACCAGGGCTTTAAGCAAGGAATTAACATGGCCATATTTTCATGTTAGAATGATCATATTGACCACAGAGTACAGGAGGGATTGGTGAGGGAGGGCATCTAAGATGGTCAGCAAGAAAATTAATTGGAAAATATTTCAATAGTTGAGTTGAGAGCTAATGGGATTCCAAATTAAGGCAAGAGAAGCAAGGATGACATGGTATACAGGTATAAGTAGGAGAGCTGTGAAAGATGCAGATTTAACAGGTTTAATAACTTATTAAAATTTGAATATGAGAGAGAAAGAAATACCTCTAGAAAGATTTTTTTGCTCCGGTAGTTAATTGTGTTATCCCATATAATTGCTTATTTGCTCTCACTTCTGTATTTTAACTGAGAAGTCTCATTGTTCTTGGCAAGCCCCAACACTTGTACCTGAACTAAACCCCTCCATCTGCATTTATCCTCTGAATACACTAGTGCATTCTCTCACTAACTTATCCTACAGGATTCAGTTCTATACCACACATTTTATTCCTCAAAAACACCTGACTTTGTCCTGTATTTATTTGGAGGCAAAGGGAACACCCAAAGCCAACCTCCCCCAGTGGAAGTGCAAGTTTTTTATAAACAGGACAGGACCCTGCCTTCTACTTCTCGAATTGTCCTTATAATACCTGACATTGACCTACGCCCAAAAAAAAGTAAAATTGACTTCAATTATGGCTACAGATCAAATGTTTCCTCATGGAAAATTGAAGATTTTTAAAAATTAGCTAATTATAGGGAGAGGTGACAGCTGTAACATCCCATCCTTGGCTGTCCAGTCTCTTCTGATGTCAAGTAACAGAACCATGCTCTGTACCTCATGGAGTACCAGATGTCTATCTCACCTCAATAGTCCTTGTACCTAGTCTATTTGGAGAAGGAAAATTAGTATGATACACCCTATAATTTTAAAAGCACGATTACTTTTATTAATAAATATGACTGTGAATTTTAAGAATTCTTACAAGTAGAGAAGTATCTGTTTATAGAGAACTGTAGAAGGGAAAATAGCATCAGCATCCATCTGACTTGGATTTTCATTTTTATATATTTACCTAGATTTGAGCATACATGCTTTACTGATACATGAATTTGTTTTCAATTTCATTATATAAGAGTTCTTTAAAAATATAAGAAAATATACATTATTCGCCAAAGTCAAACAATTCAACATGTGTTCCATTTTTTTGTTGTTGTTGATTTTCCACAATTACACAAAGCCTAACAGTTAACTACTTAACTTTTGATTTTTAAGACTTAAATAATGTGGATTTTTTGTGCTTATTTAGAAGAAAGCCAAACCTATGATTCTAAAGATCTTTCAACAGTTCTCTTTATATCTGCTAGCATAATTTTACCATTTGATATAGGCTATCTGTACTGCATATGAAACTACAAAATTTGAAAGGTGAAAATGATCTATTCAAATTATCTGCTATTACACAAACAGGTTAATAACAGTAATTAAAAGAATAATTATGCAACTACATGCCACTCAAAAGAATCATTTAAATTATGCAAATCAGGCATAAGGTCATGTAATGCTAAGAAAAAGAGATAAAATATGCAAAATGGTGTACTTTCTGTTGGTGGAGCCAATATTAGAAATATTCATGTCACAAGTAAAAAGTATGTGTTTCATTTTTGAATCTTTGTACCATAAAATCAAATTAATTTTTGTTACCTTATTGGGTATTCTGATATTTGATTAGTACATAATTTTACAGATGAGCTGGTTTCATCCAAAGAAAAGAATGCATATATATTATTTGAGTACTTTTAAAACATTCATTTTTCTCAATACTGAAATATATCATATTATACAAAATGATTTGGAAAAGACACAAAAGGAAAGACTATAAAATATATAAAAACTACCTATAACATTACAAATTTGAAATAAGTACAATCTCATTTTTGGTACAATTTCTTTCCTTCTTTTTTTTTAACTGTATTTTATTGTTATGACAGATATTGGGCTATTCATGACTGTATCATGTTTGCTTTTGTATTTCATTTAATATATCATAAACATTTCCCCAGATAATTCTTAAAAACTGAATTTTTATGTTGGCTTAAGATTTTTACATATGTAAGTAATATTTAACTATTTCATTTTTTATACTCCTCCCACTTACCACTTTTACACATAAATCATGCTATAATTAACATTTATATTAAGTTGTAATGAGAATTACTGATTATTTTATTCAAATAGATTGCTAGAAGTAGATTAGGAAACTGTGGTATGGTTATGTATAGAATTAGAATTAGATTTGGATAAGGATTAGGGAAATAATAAACATGAACTTTTAAGTTTCTTAATTCATATTAACAATTTTTCACAAAATATTTGTCTAATATTTTTACAATATTCAGTTTGTACATACATTTGCAACCAATATTACTCTAAATTTTTAACATTAATTAAAACAATCTCATTAATATTTCTCTAGCTGTTAATGAAGTTGTTTTTTTTTTAATATTCCTAGGTCCTTTTATTTCTTTCTTAATTAGATTGGCTACATGGTCTTTTTTTTTTTTCCTACTAAGTTGTTATTTTTTAATCACTTTAGGGAACTGTTTGCTTTTGTTGTATTTGTTTCAAATATTTTACCAATTCATCATTTGCATTTTATCCATATTTTGGTATGCAGAAGTATTAAGTTTGTATATCTACCTTTGTTTGACTTGACTTATTTACTAAATATTTATCTTTGTGAAATTTTCCCCAGTATTTTATGTTTAAAATCTTCCTCAACATTTTAAGATGTTTACTTTTAACTTCTAGATCCATATGAAAATTATGTTCATAAGTGATATGACTTGGTTTTTGTCCTGAGACAATTTTCTAGCTTTTGTTAAATTACACCTCTTTCTTATTTGTTTTATGTTATACTAAATTAGTTTACATTTTAGCATTTACTTCAAGATTATCTCCTGTTCCAATGATTATTACATAATCATTGTTCCTGATGATTATTACATACACATGCACTCCTTTAATCATGATTATTCTTTCCTGCTTCAGTATTTGAGAAGGCATATAGGCCTATTTCTTTTATGTTATATGATTTGTTATGATTTAACATTTCTGATGAACTTATCTGAAGAAAATCAAAATTTATTCCAAAGAGATAACCACTTTTTAAAAAATAAACTTTTGCTATTTTTGAGCATTATCAGAAAGCATTTCTTATATTTAAACCTGTTAGAACAGGAAGAACAATAGATATTATAAAGAACCTCCTGCATTTTTTGTGTTTTTGCTAAAGACCTTCACATACAACATAGCTCCCTTGACTCTTAGTCTGTCTATGATGACAGGACTAATTATCCTAATTTACAAAATAAAACTAAGATTTGAAGAAGTTGTGTGTCACACAGGATTCTAGTAAAAGTATAAATGAAATGATTCCAAGCTCCTTTTATAATACCATATACCTTACTTAAAAAATGAAACATTTCCATTTATAGAATATTATTTTATTTATAATGAATGTAGCAAAATTGTATTTTATATAATTAGTTGTGTATTTTTTATATTTTTATTCTGATGAGATATTTTGAAGTGAAATATTTCAGAAAAGAAGACAGAGAGGCCCTAAAGATGATCACATACACTGTGGTTCACTTTCAGATCATGGTGGAGTTTCAAGTAGGTCCCTTGATTTTAATTTGTTTATGGTAAATCATATCTGGGGTTTTTTCTTCTCAAACCTATGATAATTAAAGACCTACTAATATTTTCCACTACTTTACTATGGGCATAGAATGCACTAAATTTCATATTTGTATTCAAGAATTAAATGTGTGTAAAATATTGCTAATGGGAGGGTCCATTCTTTTAGTTCATTGAAATCAACCCACAGTTATTCTACAGATATATAATTTAATCTTTAAGTAGTTCTATTCTTGAATTTTACACTACCAGTTAAAATAAATACTTAGATTAATCTCATATTGCGTTTAATCAACATTTTCTGGTTGCAAGGTAAGAGAAACTTAATTACTTAATTCAAGAAAGGAAAGGCAGGCTGGCTACTTCCGGTTTAGCCACGGCAGCTAACTCTACAACCAGCCCATCAAAGCTGCTCCTGCTAGAATTTGTGGACAAGTGCATAGGATCAAGAATTCACATTGTGATGAAGAGTGATAAGGAAATTGTTGGAACACATCTAGGATTTGATGACTTTGTCAATATGGTGCTGGAAGATGTCACTGAGTTTAAAATCACCCCAGAAGGTAGAAGGATTACTAAATTAAATCAGATTTTGCTAAGTGGAAATAATATAACAATGATGGTTTCTAGAGGAAAAGGATCTGAGGTATGACAGAATTTCCTTGACTTATGCTAGATTCATTTTGTTTTATAATGGTAACAAAATAGATTTTTAAAAAATCTTCTAATGTTTAGATTCTCTAAAGCTCATTTTCCTATTAAAGAGAAATTCTTTGAAGATATGTTATATGACCATTTTTCTAAGTTAATCATGATTGTTTTGGAAAAAGAAGAAATTATATTTTTGAAATATTTTTTAGTTATAGATGGATGCAATATCTTTATTTTGTTTATTCATTTATATGGTGCTGAGGATTGAACCCAGTGCCTCACGTGTGCGAGGCAAGTGCTCTGCCACTGAACCAAAACCCCAGCCCCAAATTAGTTTCTTTTAAGACTAAAACATAAAGGTGATTTTGGTTATAAAAAAAAAGAAAGTAATGGCTTATGTAATTAAGACATACAGAGATATTAGGATTCAGATACAACTGGATGTGAATGTTAAAAAATTATTGTCATAAACCTCTCTCTACATACTTTATCATAGAGAAATCTATGATGATTTATTTATCTAGAAAGTGTCAGAAAATGTGAAGGATCTGAGATTTTTACCCTCCTCATAAGCTAACAAGTGAACCTGCCTCAGTTACATGGATGTTGACAGAAGACATGAAACTGCTGAACTAGATACTTTATTATTCATGGCACAGTCACTAGCATGAAAATCATTATAATTCTGTGAATCTCCCTTATCCATAAATCCCAGGGGGGTGACACAGGCAAGCTCAGATTTATGCCTACCTAGGCAGTACAGGAACTCTGATCTAATGGAACCTGAATCTTTTATAATTGGCATTCTTTCCCTTTGTTCTGGATCTCTCTTTCTCCTCTTAAGACTTTTTATTGTTCGCTATTTGAAAATATAGTCTGGAACAAAGGACAAACAATGCTTTATGAGATGTGCAGAAATATGAGAGACCCATCAAGAATTATCTCCCAATTGAAGACTTTCTTCATGAGATAGCAGTGAAGACCATTAGCTACATCCTACCTTTTGAGTAATTTCAACACAGAAAATGTGCTTTCTTTCAAAAGTCTTGGATAATTCTGAAACACTGAAAATTTGATTTTTCAGGGTTGGGTACTGTAGTATTGTTTGGAACACCGCATTCAGCTCATTCTGTCCAAATGTAAATTTGGACAGAAGTGACTACTCAAAGAAATATTTGGGTACTGTTAGTAGAGAAGAAGGTATTTGAGGTGGAGCAACAAAGTGAGAATAAGTTCAATGTAATCTATGCTTCTGCCCCTTTGCTTAATCTTGCCTCTGCTTTTGTACATACCTTCTTCTTTCATCTCTCTATGTCCACACCTTAGACATCCTACAAGCCATGCCCAGGTGCATAGTCCAGTGTGAATGCTACCATGTCCTCTTCCCAGCAAGAGAATCATGCCCCCCACCTGTCCTGGATTCCCTCAGTACTTTATCTCTTCATCAATGGTGGCACGTTTTACTTACTACCTTCTATTACAGGAATCTGTTTAGATGTCTTAGACCTCCCATCTGGGATCTACTTCTGAGCAGTCTTATTTGTGATTTTCTGTATTCCCAATGAATCAAAATATACTGTAGGTATTCAATATATCTAGAGAATGGGAGAGTATGGATCAGTGGTAGAGAACTTGCCTATCATGCAAAAGGTCCTGGGTTCAATCCCTAGCACTGAATAAATAAATAAAGTGAATGCTATTGGATTGAATTTCAGTCATTTATATATTTTAACTAACAATGATGGAACAATTACCTGACCAGGAGTCCAGAGATATTGTTTCTTTTTCTATTTTTACCACACACTGATTGGCCACCCTGAACAAATCTGTTAACCTCTCTGAGGCTCAGTTCTTCCATTTGTAAAATGGTGAAACCGTGTACTCTTCCTCATATGGTTATTGAGATAATAACATGAGAAAATGTGTATGAAGTTACTTTAGAAATGTAAACCACCATAATAATTAATGAATTCCATTTTCAAATAACAAGTGAAGCATTTCTATTATATGAATTCAATGTGTTTAATACTCACAGAATAGTTATTAAAAAGCAAGTTGCTATTTGAGGAATGCTTACAAAAATTCTGTCTGTACAAAAATGTACTTTATTGATACCTGTCTGTGATTCTTCTACCTACTTTTAATTTATCTGAAATAAATTTAAAAAATTTTAGCTCCAAAAGTCCTCATAAAAGTGTACACTTAATAATAATGCATATTAAATTATTATCTGTTAGTAAATTTTATCAAATATTTTAACTGCCTGAGAAGCAAACAAATATTTCAAAGGTAAACTTTGAAAGGAAGATGGTAGATTAGAAAGGAAAACTTTGGCATAAATTTGCCTGAAAGGTAAATGGAAAAGAAACATATTGCCAAGAAAAAAAAAATACTTCAGAAGTCATAGAATGTTGCCAAATAAAAAATTGTCCAATTCATAGCTTTGTGTTTGACAGGTCTTATCAAACAATTTTTAGAACGTTTTTTTTGTACTGAGGATTGAACCAGGGATGCTTAGCCACTAAGTCAAATCCCCAGCCCTTTTTATTTTTTATTTTGAGACAGTGTCTCCCTAAATTGCTGAGACTGACTTTGAATTTGTTATCCTCCTACCTCAACCTTCCAAATTGCTGGAATTATGGGCATGTGTCACCACACCCAGCTCTCAACCCCTTCTTTTCTTTGAGATAGAATCTTGCTACAAAGCACAGGCTGACCTTGAACTTGTGATTCCCCTGCCTCAGCATCCAGAGCCCTGCAGCTCCGGGACCTAGGTTGATCTTCATGCACATCCACTCCAGTGCTAAGTCAGACCTAACAGACTCAAGTTCAACCTGCCTACGTACCAGGTTGGCCCCTGAAGATCCACATTCCAAGCTTGTACCAATGAACCCTAATGCCAAGTATAAACTCAAAATTTATGCTTATATCTCTGGATCCAAGAACCAGGCCTGTCACCATGGACTCAAGAATAAAACCCACCCTCAAAGACCCATGCTCTATACTCACCACTGTGGACCCAGGTTCCAGGGCTGCTCCATGGACTCAAGCACTGGGATGTCCTCTGTGGACCGTCAGGCTTACTTTGCACTGACTCAGGTACTAGGCCAGCCAGCCTGTGGACAGCCTGCACAGTAACTCTGAAAGGGCTTTCATTGCCAAGGTTATTCTGCAAATGCACAGACACAAATACAAGGCCACAAGAATCAGAAATAATAAGGGAAACAATACCAAAATAGAAGGGAAAAAAAAGTAACCAACAGAAACTAAGCCTAAAGAAATAGAAATCCCATGAATTAACAGAAACTAAACAATAAAAGTAACCATCTTAAAGAAGCTCAGAGAGCTACAAGGGACCACAGATAAACAATTACATGATATCAGAAAAACAACAAATGAACAAAATTAGAAGTTCAACAACAACAAAAAAGAACTAAATGGAAATTTCAGAGATGAAGAAATCAATGACTAAACTGAAAATTCTACAGAGAGCTTCAGTGGCAGACTTGATTAAGCAGAATACAGAACTACTGAGCTTGCAGATGAGACATTTAAAATTACCCAATAGAACAAAAGGAGAAAGAATGGGGAAAAAAAGCTAATAGCTAATACATATGAAACTTACCAGATATCACTCAGGAAACAAATATATGTATTATGGGAGTCCATAAGGAAAAGGAAAAAGAAAGAAAAGGATATATATATATATATATATATATATATATATATATATATATATATATTTAAAACTTCACAATCTGTAGACAAGTGAACATCCATACCCATGAATCCCAAAGAAGGTCATACAGATTAAACACAAAGAAACCTTCACGAAGACAAATTATAATCAAATTCTCAAAAATCAAAGAGGAAAGAATTTTGAAAGCAACAAGAGCAAAATAATTCTTTACATACCAGAGGACCTCTGGAAGACTATTCATGAATTTCTCACCAGAAAATTTGCAAGCCAGGAAATGTGGGATAATATATTCAAAGTGCCAGAAGAAAGAAGTGTCAACCAAAGACAATATGCCACAAAGTTATCCTTCAGAAATGATTGAGATAAAAAGACTTCCCCAGACAAACAAAAACTGAAGCTATACCTACCTGCCTTATAAAAATTGCTAAAGGAAGTTATTTAAGTTGAAGTAAAAGGACATTAACAACATGAAAATATACAAAAGTATAAAATTTTCTGTAAACCTTAAAATACAAAAATTTAAAATACTTTATTACTCTAATGGTGATACACAAATCATGTTAACTTTAGCATAAAAGACAAAAGTAATAGAAATAACTACAGCTATGATAATTTGTTAATGAATAAACAAAATTAAGAGATGCAAAGTATAAAATCAATAATAAAATATGGAATGAAAATAGATAAAGTATAGAGCTTTTGTATGCAGTCAAAGTTAAATTGATATCAACTTGAAATAGGCTGTTATAAAAGATGGTTTATGTATGCCTCATAGTAACCACAGAGAAAAAACCTGTAGTAGATACATAAAGATAAAGAAAAATGAATCAAATCATACCACAACAAAAATATAGTCAATAAAATGAAAACAAAATAAAGACAAAAGAAGAAAGGAACAATAGAAATGATTTTTTAATTTTAAAAAGTCTATAATAAAACCTTACTTACCAAAATTACTTTAATTGTAAATGTATTAAAAACTCTAATCAAAAGACATAGTCACATAGATTTTTTAAAATTAAAAATAATATCCAACTGCCTACAAAAGACTTCCTTAAGCTTTAAAGACAAACATATCTTAAAGTCAAAGAATAGAAAATGTTGCTCTAAGCAAATGATAACCAAAGACAGCAGAAGTGTCACACTTCTTTCAGACTTGAAGTAAAAAACTGAGATATGTTTTTTAAAAGGTTATTATATAGTGATAAAATGTTCATTCATCAAGAATATTTATTTAGGGGTTGGGACTGAAACTCAGTGGTAGAGCGTCTGCCTCACATGTGTGAGGCACTGGGTTCGAT